ACTTTACGAATTATTTATTCGTGGGAAACAATTAACGATTTACTTGAGAAAATGTTACAAAAGAGAACAAAAAACCGATAAAAAGAAAAATTAAGTTTAAATTTGTGTGCATAACCCATGGCATTTGCTATAAAGTACACACACACACACACACACACACACACACACATTATATATTATATACAATAAATTAACATTATTAACATCAGAATTACACTAATAACGCTTGCGGTCTCGAGTAAAGATTGTGTATAACAACTGACAACATACATACCTGATACGACACACATACAATTATGTAACGTGTACCAACTTTAGAACTTTCGAAAATTTTCTTTTATTAAACGTTACCAGAAATCCTTAAAGGAATTCTTTGAAAGTCTATAGATCGTGGATCGCTGCACCAAATTAAACCAAAAAAAAAAAAAAATTACATTTTATAAAGCATTCTTTTTTGATTCGTTTCGAAAAATTTGTAGTGTTCATTGAAATGAAATGATTTTAAATGCATTTAGTGAAACGATAAAAACTCCATTATACGACCAATAGGGTCGGATGTATGTTTTGTTACACATAAGACATTTATCCTGTAGATCCTCTTACGTAGTTTGGCGTACAATGTTAAAATCTTTTGCTATCGGGATAATTTTTCCTAATTAAGAATAAGTTCTCATAAATACGCCACACGGTGTTTCGATTCCGATTCAATAACGAAGAGAAACTAAACAACGCTTTACTGAAAAAAGAACACAAGGGGCTTAGTTTAAAGATGGCGCATTTATTCCGATTGTATTGAATGCTAATAAAATTTTAGGATTTTTATCACTTTAATTACATTTGTTTAGGTGATATTAACAAGAATTGGTTCAAAAAGGCTTTAGACAGGAATTGGTCCAAAGAGGTTTTGGACAAGAATTGGTCTAAAAACGGTTACAAAGAATTTTTTTGTTGCATATCATTGATACCTTCAATGATAATTAACAAAAATGCAGGGTGATAAATAGTAAAATATGCCTTATAATATAAACGCACATGCACAATCTTTATCGATTAAAGTGGCTTTGTAAAAATTTAATGAGTTTTAGCTTTTTTTGATAAATTACTCGTTAACGTTTAATCGTTAATCACTTGTTAAAGATAAATTTATTTTATATGTTGAATAAAAATTTATCAGATGGTAATCTGTTTACGTATCATATATCGCTAATTAACACACATACAATATTATAGTTAAACTACATTAAAATTGTGCCATAAATGCGCGTCAAAGTCATCTTTAAAGAATAAATTCATATAGAAAAGAAATGACTTAAGACTTTAGATTATTTATTAAATTTGTAAATACATTAGGAAATCAGATTTTGCCAATTATAATATTAATTATTAATATAAAAAAAAAAAGTTTTTTTTTTTTTTTCCTTAAATTATTAATGATAATACTGTATAATTTTGAAAAATGCCAATTTTTAAATTTTATTATTATTATTTGGTCTTACTTTCTAAATGCTGTTTTTTTTTTTTCTTATAAATTTTGATTTGCTTTAGAATTCTGGTTTATTTTGTTTGTATTAACGAGACGTTGTGTCGAAAGTACTTTCTTCAGATTGACAAGCTTAAGCTGTCATATTATTCGAAAATATAAATTGTTGAACATCAAATTGATTAATTAAACCATTTTGCTCAATATCCGTTGAAGGTTGAAGGCCAAAAGAGTCAATTGTTGACGACGTTGGTGCTTGCATATTTGGACTATTGTCATTTAAATCGTTATTATTAACTGACATCATCCCCAAATGAAAAATTGGTGAAGGTGATGGTCGATATTGTGTATTTTCATTAGCGACAAATTTATGAGTTTCGTAACCCTTAGGTGTTGGATATATCACAGATATTCCTGGAAAGTTTCCTGATTGTTTGTTACTTGTGCCTTTTGTATTTTTTCGTTGTTTTTTTGAGTCTTTGATCGCTTGCTTTTCGAGTTTTCTTTTTTTTTCATCTGCTTTTTCTATTTTATAAAAATTCATTTCTTCTGATTGCCT